TTTAACAGTCCACCAATGAATGGAGAAAATACTTTTACCTTGAAAGTAACTGACACATTCCCAACTAATTACATCAGAGTCTGGAATGAATGTAAAGCCCTCTTACGTACTTAGAGTCCTCTATTCCTAACCTGGACAGAACGCATAATAACGCTTAAAATGTCCATATTGCCCAGACTTCAGCATCTGTTCCGCAACTCCCTATCCCTGTGCCACAAGCGTACTTTAAGACTATACACTCAGAAATGATTACATTTATCTGGAGACACGGTAGAGCTTGGATCTCTGGCAAATTATTGAGGGCCCTGTGAGGCGGGGGGATGGCATTCTACTACCAGGCAGCAATACTAGCATCACTAATACCCCGCTTCCTTAGAGATAACCATCTGCAACGGGTATTACTAGAAAACTTAGCTGTGAAACCCTTCAACAATTCCTAAACTGACTCAAAAACACCCCAGAAGCTCACAATACACAGGAGCTCACATTCTGGGAACAAATTGAGGTTAAGGGTGTACTTCCACCTTACTGTAAGCCGCTCTCCAGGTGCTACCGACTCCTTCAGACATATGAGCATTTTGCACTCTCTACACCTGCAGCGCATTTGTCTAAAGACCTCCACATTGATATTCCCAAACAAAAATGGGAAGATATTATATCATCTATGAAAAAATTGATAACTACATCCACATTATTAGAACAACAGAAAAAAACACTATATAGGTAGTATATTGTGCCCACCCGCATACATAAGTTATACCCACTCTCGTCCCCCCTATGCTGGAGATGAAGGAACGGTTCTCCACGTGTGGTGGTCATGTACCCACCTAACCAAATTCTGGAAAAAGATCCACAAATTGATTATTGATATTACCACTATTATTCTGCCTTTTGACCCATTGTCTTTTCTATTACTGGACATACCAGGTAAAACACCCACAGAAGTACAGAAATGAATCTGCCATATTCTGCTGACTGCACAATGCTTAATAGCAAGAGCCTGGAAGTCCACTAGACCCCCAAGCATAAAAGCCCACAAACAGGACTTAGACAACCAGCAGATCTACGAAAACTGCTTTGGCAGCATTAACCCACAAACACAGCAGGCGATGGAGGCCTGGGGGATATGGCGTGACTGGAGACAGACAAACCCCGGTAGATGAAGGTCATACAGTGTGTATAATAATTCCCAGATTTTACTATTAACATGACGTAAAGTCATGATTTTATTAAAGACATGGAGGCGAGTATTATGCATATCTCTTTCTTTATTACTCTCAGCAGCAAACAACAGAGATGAATAAATAACTGAAATGAACAAAAAAATACAATGCTCAAGCAACCAATCACATAACACAGGAAGTGACTATAACATGCTTGATGCACCCACAATCCCCCTCTTTCTTGCGGATAACGAAGACCAGCATGTAGAAAATTCCAACTTCAGCTAACGTAGCCAACAGCTTCTTCATTATGGAAAAACACGAGAGTTCAGGCTAGAAGGAGACATAGAAAATATATGGTAATATCTGAGTTCCAAACTGTCTGCGTATAATAACAATCACTTAGTCCATTTAAGTCAAGACCATCTCCGAACCTCTTAAACATTAAAATACTCAAAACGATAGCATAAATATAGTTCATCAAAACATTATAATGTCAGCATAATGAAATGTATGAAAAAATTCAAAAGAGAACTTACCTGATCTAGCAATCATATCGACTTAACTCCAGCCTCAATCGGGTGGGTGGGTGGGAATAATACTCGCCTCCGTGTCTTTAATAAAATCATGACTTTACGTCATGTTAATAGTAAAATCTGGGAATTTTATTAAAGACACGGAGGCGCCTATTATGCAAGTTTAAAGCTGAGATGCGAAATGATCCACCGGCCTGAAGTAAAAGTCTCGAAAAGTTGATTCCCGTGACCAGTCTGCCGCACGTAGAATATCTTCCAGGCGGCAGCGCATTGACGATGCCTTGGAGGCCATAGCTCCACGGACCGAATGGGGGGTAAATACGGACGTGTCGATCCCAGCCAATGTCAGTACATCTCATACCCACCTTGCCAGTGTAGGGTGTGGGACGCGAAACGAAATAAATAATAGGCACAACTCCGGAGAGCGCAATGTATGAGTAGCCTCCAGGTAGGTTTTTAGGCACTCTACTGGACAGAGTAAAGGATTAGTCTGGAATCTAGGGTAGACGAACACTTTTGCAGCTGATTTAGTCCTTCTGGAAACGTTAAAGGAGATGCCTTCCGGTGTGAACGTAATGGCATTCCAGTCAAGTGCTCGAACATCTGAAACCCTCTTACAAGAGATCAGGCATCACAGCATGACCACCTTAGCCGATAGTTGTTTCAATGTCAGATCTTGATTTGGGTACCAAGATGATAAAAACTGTAAGACTACATTTACATCCCAAAAGGTAGTGAACCTAGCACAGGGTGGTCTAGTGTAACCGCTGGTGGTTCCCTTATTTACCACTATAATATCTTAAAGCATAGAACTTAGTAGGGCTAACCATACAGATATCTTAGCCATAATTTTATATAGTGTAAGAGATCCTCTATTTAACATATATAAATAATTGAGAATACAATATAAAATAAGGATTGTCTTGGAAGCAAGATTGTCTTTTTGGATATTTATTATATAAAAATATAAATATAAAATCCATTATAGCAGAGTTTATAAGATTAAATTACATGCTTGCAAATATCATTAATAGGTTAACATACCCTTCTGAACATGTCATCATGTCAGCCTCTCTGTCATTTTAAGATGGAGCAGCATCTGTCTCCAAGTCTCTCCTCTGTTTCTTAACATTTAAAAGTACACCTATTTATACCTCTGTCTCCATTTTAGGTTACCGTAGTTCAAATATGAAAAAGTAACACTTATTTTACTTTATTCAATTTAGGACCTCCCTTAACTTGGCAAACATACACGGCCATAACAGAAGGGTGCATACGTCATGGAAATTTTCCTGACTTAGTTCAAGATGGCATCTTAAAGTCTGAATAGGTTATCTGTTGTTTATACTAAGTCGTAAGTGCACAGTCGTGGGAGATTCCTGGATTTGGGGAAGTTCCATTAACTTGGGGTTACCACAGTATATTGTGTACTGCAAGAGTCGTAGTATAGCCTTGAAGCTTGTTTATGCATTATTGTTATTGTAATTCGTCTGGGACAAAATGGCGCAAACATATTATGCACTGAGGTTATTGCTTAAAGAAACATCTATGAAAAACAATATGTTCCATTTCTAACACCTTGTCAGTTTGCAATATCTCTTAAAGACAAAGTACACAGTTTAAGAAATACAACATTTCATTCTAAAACTTGTAATATTTGCATTTGCCCATAACACTAGTGAGACGCATCCATTTGAGCAGTCGGCATACGAAAGGATGACGTCCCACAGGCGATCCATCCAAACCTCGATGTCCAGCAGAGATAGCCAATCGTCATAGATTAATGGTGCGGTAAGCTTTCCCAGATTCAAACATCTCCGTAAGGAATTCCATGATCATATGCAGAGGGGCAGATATGGGATCCACTGTCGGTCCCATGCACCAACTAGACCAGATTCGCCAGGCGGATCGGTAAGCCACTCTAGTACCTGGTGCCCATGCATTGTCGAGGAGGTCGAGAGTTGACTGCGGAACTCCCGCGATGGTCCAGGGTCCCCTGAAAGGGGCCACGCCATAAGATGTAGAATGCCGCGATCCACTAACTCGTGCGAGTTGCCATCCGGATCTCTCAGGAGATTCGGGAAGGTTGGTATCAATCGTGGGTAATCCGTTGTCAGTTCCAGTAGCCGAGGGAACCATGGCCGTGACCACCACAGGGGCGCGATCAACACCATCGAGCAGTCGTGTTGAGTCAGCTTCGATAGCGTGCAAGCTATCAGATTGAACGGTGGAAAAGCGTATACTCGGGAACTCGGCCACTCTTGAAGGAAAGCATTCGTTGCCACTGCTGCCGGGTCTGGCCTCCAACTGAAGAACTTGGGCACCTGCGTGTTGAGACAGGATGCGAAGAGATACATGTCGAATGGGCCCCATATCCGATCCAATCCCTCGAACGCCGCAGCATGTAAGTGCCAGTCTCCAGAGTCTCTTAAGTAGCGTGAATTCCAATCGGCTGTCAAATTGTCTAGGCCCGGTATATGCTCTGCTTGTACAGAAATGTTGCTGTGAAGGCAGAACTGCCAGAAGTCTTTCGCCATGAGAGCTAACATGCGCAATTTCGTGCCTCCTAGGTGGTTGATGTAATGCACTGCCGATACATTGTCCATCCTGAGCATCACGCAACAATTCGCACGTTCGGGTGTCAGGCTGCACATTGCGAATGCTCCTGCCAATAGTTCCAGGCAGTTGATGTGGAGTGTCCGTTCTTGTTCCGACCATCTGCCGCCGGTAGACGCGGTGCCACAACACGCACCCCAGCCGTGTAAGCTGGCATCTGATTCTATCATCACATCTGGGATGGATCCGAATATGGCTCTTCCGCTCCTGGCGTCCATGTGCGCCAGCCACCAGGTCAGCTCATCTCTGGACTCTTCATCCAGTCTCACTCTCATCTCATAAGATTAGCCTGCACGTAGGTGAGAGCCCTTCAGTCGCTGTAGGGCCCGATAATGGAGTGGTCCAGGAAATATTGCCTGGATTGAGGCAGCTAGAAGGCCGATTACTCTCGCCAGATGGCGAAGAGAAAGATCGTCTGTGCGTAACGTTCACCTGATTTCTTTCTTGATGGCCTTCATTTTGGTCTCTGGAAGAAACAGGAACTGTCTGATGGAATCTACTGTAAACCCCAGGAATTCTATTGACTGAGTGGGGTTTAACACCGACTTCTCCCAATTGATTAGGAAACCCAGGTTCTGGAGTAAAGACGTCGTCCATGTGACATGTAGGTGCAATTGATCTTTTGATTGAGCCATCAGCAGGATATCATCCAGATAGATAATCAGACGTACTCCACGGCTTCGGAGGATGGGGTAGGACGGACGGCGGTAACGCCATGTGCGGTGAAAAGGGGGACCAGAGTAGCACACCACAGGGAAACAAAAATACAATGCCAGAGCAAGGCTCTAAGAGAAAACCATAAAAGGAGCAAGCGAGTGAATTAAAAGTAATCACAAGGTCATAAATTACTACTAAACACAGAGCATAAAAGTATGTACTTAACTGGTTTGAGAGCAGCAAAGAAAGAAGGGGGATTGTGGGTGCATTAAGCATGTTATAATCACTTCCTGTGTTATGTGATTGGTTGCTTGAGCACTGTATTTTTTTGTTCATTTCAGTTATTTATTCATCTCTGTTCTTTGCTGCTGAGAGTAATAAAGAAAGAGATATGCATAATAGGAGCCTCCGTGTCTTTAATAAAATCCAATTTCAGGGATGTAATGTATCTATAAACATGCTGATGTGTATAACTCAGTGAAAATAAGGCAGGGTGTGAGAAGCACCTGGGATAAAAACCCAGACAAGCAGAGTTTTTACCTGATGAAACTGTATGCAGGATATAATATGCTGATGTGTAAACGCAGACACTATAAATACTGTGGGTATGTTTGTGACTATGATTTACTATGTTTGAACGTGTTACCCTCTTCTCCCCCCCCCCTTTCCTTCTGTACCCCCACTCTCTCTGTGGTTTTTATGCAGTACAAAATAAATAAAAATTACATTCTTGGATACATAATAACTCCACAAGAAATCCACATGGATGATTCAACGGTTCAACGTGTTATTAATTGGCCTATTCCCACTTCAGTAAAAGAGCTACAAAGCTTTCTTGGTTTTGCTAATTTCTATAGAAAATTCATAAAATAATTATCTTGGAATAACAAGGCTGAAGTAGTGTTCGACTCTCTCAAACAAAGATTTACCTCCTCTCCTATCTTAAGAATGCCAACTCCTTCATTACCGTACATTTTGGAAGTTGATGCTTCTAAAACAGGAATAGGAGCTGTAATAATCCCAACAAGAATCTCCACAAAAAGCTATCCATCCTGTTGCATCCTATTTAAGGACTTTGACTCGTGCTTAATGTAGCTATCCCATTGGTGAAAAGGAATTACTAGGCATCAAGGCTGCTTTCCAAAACTGGAGACGTTTATTGGGAGGAAATGAAAAACCTATAGTGGTTTATACCGATATTAAAAATCTTGAATTTTTTCACAACAACAGAACACTGTCAGCCAGACAAGTTAGATGGAGTATTTTCTTTCACCGATTCAACTTCCACATCGTATACAGACCAGTTACTAGACATAAAAAAGCTGACTCCCAGCCCTGAATACCAATCAAAACTTTAATCTCTGAAAACCCTTCTTCTATTCTTCCTCCAACTAGATTTATTGGGATAACTACATCCCTTGTTGAAAAAATGAAAACACTTACTCCTGAAGAACTAGATCTACCTCATGATTCTACTTTGCATGAAGAAAATGGTATGTTTTTTCAAGGATAATAAAGTTTATGTACCTTCTTTGCCGGCTGAAGTCCTGAAAATGGTTCATGAGTCTCCATTGGCAGGTCATCCAGGTATCACGAAAATATCCGAATTGTCAAAAAGAAACTTCTAGTGGCCTCGTCAAGAAGAAACCATTACTAGTTATCTTTCCTCTAAATCCTCTACCTAGCTTAAATCCTACTGATATCAATGAAGTGTTCTTTAAGACTCAAAATCTGTATAAAGAACAAATCAAGGGTTTCTGGGAACTAACTAGTCTCAAGCAATATGTGGAAAAAAAAACTAGTACCACGTGGCTTGAGACTTAACATATCTACACCAGAAAAAGTCGATACAGACAAGAAACTCATAGGATGGAACAACATACTTTTAGATGTTCATTTAATCTAATGCAATACCTAATAAAACTGGAACAAGATCAGTTTGAGATAACTAATCAGAAGTTAAAAGATCAGATCACACTGACTAAAGATTTCCATCAAAATATTGACTACCAACCTATGGAGACACAAATACAAATACATTTGGAAAACTTTACAAAAAACATCAGGGTGAAAAAGCATTTCAATTTCCAACATGATCACAAAGATTTTAGTGAAGGGAAAATATTTAAGGTTAAAACCCAAACTAGAAGGTGCTACAATAGCAGAAACTCTTCCCTTTCAGATACTGATAGATCTGATGTTAAGTCCTCACGGAACAGATCAAGAAGTAATTCCTTCTCCAAAAAAACAGAAAGTCAAAACCCACTAAACAAAGGAATCTTAAGGAATCAAGAGAAGTCAGTCTCATTTCTTAATCAAACACCACAGACTAATTCCGATTCACAATTAAGAGCTGGTTCTTTTTTAGACCAAGCTTGGCCGAACTACCAACGACCCAGACTGAGGGACAGGAACAGATGGGGGTACAGACCAGATCGATTGAAAAAGTAACCCCAAGTAGTAACACCGGAAACAAGGTGAAAAATGTGTCAAACCATCCTCTTTCTCAGACACATATATCCATCTTAAACAAAGGGCTTTCCTTTATACCCACTCCTGGAGCCAATAAGTTAAATTGGTTAAAGGATACCAATCTTTTTTGTCGTAAACTCGCTCTGAGTGCACTACATAAAAAGAAGGAAACAATGATGGCTAAAGAAATAGGAGTCTCACCTGAGGATTACCAACATGTAAAAACACTAGTTACACTACTTGAGGATCAGGAAAAAGACCCACCCTTCATCTGAAACCACTAAACTGGTATACACCTAATTTTAAAGATGTAATAAATGTGGATTTATTTGTGCAAATTACCACAAATAAAATTGAACAACTTAATGTTATTCATACACCTCT